CTGGGGGAGAAAAAATATGTAAATATTACATACAAAGAGAGATAAAATGGATGAAAAGAGAAAAATATGTAAATATAAGATACAAAGAGAGATAAAAATGGATGAAAAGAGAAAAATATGTAAATATTAGATACAAAGAGAGATAAAAATGGATGAAAAGAGAAAATATGTAAATATTAGATACAAAGAGAGATAAAAATGGATGAAAAGAGAAAATATGTAAATATTAGATACAAAGAGAGATAAAAATGGATGAAAGAGAAAATATGTTAAATATTAGATAAAAGAGAGATAATAATGGATGAAAAGAGAGGATACATGTATTAAAATAGATAAAAAGAGAGATAATAATGGATGAAAAGAGAGATAACAATGTATTAAAAATAGATAAAAAGAGAGATAAAAATGGATGAAAAGAGAGATAACAATGTATTAAAAATAGATAAAAAGAGAGATAAAAATGGATGAAAAGAGAAAATATGTAAATATTAGATACAAGAGAGATAAAAATGGATGAAAAGAGAAAATATGTAAATATTAGATACAAAGAGAGATAAAAATGGATGAAAAGAGAAAATATGTAAATATTAGATACAAAGAGAGATAAAAATGGATGAAAAGAGAAAATATGTAAATATTAGATACAAGAGAGATAAAAATGGATGAAAAGAGAGATAAAAATGGATGAAAAGAGAAAATATGTAAATATTAGATAAAAAGAGAGATAATAATGGATGAAAAGAGAAAATATGTAAATATTAGATACAAGAGAGATAAAAATGGATGAAAAGAGAGATAACAATGTATTAAAAATAGATAAAAAGAGAGATAATAATGGATGAAAAGAGAAAATATGTAAATATTAGATACAAAGAGAGATAAAAATGGATGAAAAGAGAAAATATGTAAATATTAGATAAAAAGAGAGATAATAATGGATGAAAAGAGAAAATATGTAAATATTAGATAAAAAGAGAGATAATAATGGATGAAAAGAGAAAATATGTAAATATTAGATACAAAGAGAGATAAAAATGGATGAAAAGAGAAAATATGTAAATATTAGATACAAGAGAGATAAAAATGGATGAAAAGAGAGATAACAATGTATTAAAAATAGATAAAAAGAGAGATAATAATGGATGAAAAGAGAGATAACAATGTATTAAAAATAGATAAAAAGAGAGATAATAATGGATGAAAAGAGAAAATATGTAAATATTAGATACAAGAGAGATAAAAATGGATGAAAAGAGAGATAACAATGTATTAAAAATAGATAAAAAGAGAGATAAAAATGGATGAAAAGAGAAAATATGTAAATATTAGATACAAGAGAGATAAAAATGGATGAAAAGAGAAAATATGTAAATATTAGATACAAAGAGAGATAAAAATGGATGAAAAGAGAAAATATGTAAATATTAGATACAAAGAGAGATAAAAATGGATGAAAAGAGAAAATATGTAAATATTAGATAAAAAGAGAGATAATAATGGATGAAAAGAGAGATAACAATGTATTAAAAATAGATAAAAAGAGAGATAAAATAGATTAAAGGAGAGACAAAATTAATAAGAAGAGATATTTAAATATATATCAAAAATAGATTAAAAAGAGATCAAAATATATTTTAGAAATATAAAAAAGCAAGATTAGCATTCATATTCTTCTGTGGATGGCGAGTTCGCATAAATGACTGAATGAATGGATGGATGCATAAATAGTTGATAATTTGTATACATGTTCAGCTATACATCATCATAAATAAATAGTTGATAATATGTATATATAGATATGGGTGTACATTTCCATCTACAAGACAGACGCACACGTATACACTTATAAATAGTGTGAATATATGTGTGTGTGTGTGTGTGTGTGTGTGTGTGTGTGTGTGTGTGTGTGTGTGTGTGTGTGTGTGTGTGTGTGTGTGTGTGTGTGTGTGTGTGTGTGTGTGTGTGTGTGTGTGTGTGTGTGTGTGTGTGTGTGTGTGATCTTTTCTTTCTCTCTCACATTCTTTCATACATGCATCATAAAAAGTAATAATAATAATAGTAATTCTAAAACAATAAAAAAATGAATTGTTTACAAGATATCCTTTCCCCGCTAATTTTCCTTTCAGCCAATCACCAGCCTTCATCTCTATGACGTCAGAGGCAATGCCAATCAAATCGTAAGGTCAAAAAAAGGTCAGGAAGGTCAGGTCATAAAGTTCCCAGGTCAGTTCCTCGGTCATTATAATGGGAGTTTTATATTCGAAAGATGACGAGTTTTATATTTAGGATTTTTTTTTCATATTCATTGCTTTTTTTTTCTTGATTATCTTTCCTATACGCTCGTTTTCGTTTTCTTTCTTATTATTTCTTCTTTTTATCAATATGTTTCTATTCTTATTCATTTCTGTTTTATCTTTTTGTTTCGTTCGTTCTTTTTATATCATTTCTTTTCATATTTGTATATATACGCGCTTGTATTGTGAAAGGCAGAAAAAAGCAATGAACAAAAATGCAGCAATAACAACAACAAAAACAGCAACAACAACACTAACAACAGTAATAATAACAACAATAACAATAACGAGAACAAAAACATTAGCTTGTTTCTTGGGTCTAACGGCTGTCTATTGACTCGTGGCCCCCTACCCCTATCCCCTACCCCCTGGCCCCTTTTCAGCTCCTAAACGCCATATCTTTGCATCTACTCCCTACCCCCCCCCTTGCCCCTTCCTCCTTCCCCTCCTCACTTCCCCTCGCGGCCCCTAAACTGCCCCTACTTCCCCTCACTTTCCCTCAGTCCCCATTCCTAAGTTCCCCTTCTCCCTGCGCCTTTTACTTGTTTATTCCTGTCCTTTCTTATTCCCTTTCGTTTTTTTTCTGTCTCTCCTCATTCCCTCTTCTCTCTTCCGCTCGTTTTACTGCTCCGTTTCTCTTTTTTTTCACTCCTCCTTTCCCCTCAGTTTCTCTTCTTTTCCTCCTCTCCCCTCGCGTCCGGTGCTCTTGCTTCTCTTCCTCTCCTCGCCTTCCGTCTTCAGCCTCTGCTCTCCCCTCTCGTCCCCTTTCACCCCCTCCCCCTCCCCTTCCCCTCCCCTCCTCTCCGTCTCTCTTCTCTCCTCCCCTCCCCTCCGTCTCTCTCCCCTCCTCCCACCCTCCAGATCCTCCCCAATCTTCCCCTCTCCGTCCCTCTACACCCTCCCCTCCTCTCCACACCTCTTCCCTTCCCCCGCCCTCCCCTCCAGCCCTCTTCATCCCTTTCCCCACCCCCATCCCCCTCCCCACCTTCCCCGCCTATAGACTCTCCCCTTGCCAATATTTCGACACATCCATCTATGGGCGTCTCACAATATGCCTCCCCGCTGTCTCCCCTTGCCCCCTCCCCCCTCGCCTCCTTCCCCCCTCCCCGCTGTCTTCCCTTGCCCCCTCCCCCCTCGCCTCCTTCCCCCCCTCCCCGCTGTCTTCCCTTGCCCCCTCCCCTCTCGCCTCCTCCCCCCCCCCTCCCCGCTGTCTTCCCTTGCCCCCTCCCCTCTCGCCTCCTCCCCCCATCCCCGCGGTGTCTCCCCTTCCCTCCTTCCCCCCCTCCCCGCTCTCTCCCCTTCCCCCTTTCCCCCCTTCGCTCCCCTCTCTCGCCTGGGGATACGTGGCCGCCCCTGAGGGAGAGCCTAAATGTAGCAGGGTGAGGGGCGGTGGGTGGGTAGGGGGGGTGGGATGAGGAGAGGTCGGGTTCTCTCTCTTCTTGTCTTTCTGCTATTTGTTTATTTATCTTTTTTTCCCCTCTTTGTTTTGTTTTGTTTCTTTCTTTCTTTCTTCTATCTCTTTCTTTCTTTCTCTGCCTCTGCCACCTATTCTCATTCTCTCTCTCTCTCTCTCTCTCTCTCTCTCTCTCTCTCTCTCTCTCTCTCTCTCTCTCTCTCTCTCTCTCTCTCTCTCTCTCTCTCTCTCTCTCTCTCACTCTCTCTCTCACTCTCACTCTCTCTCTCTCTCTCTCTCTCACTCACTCACTCACTCTCACTCACTCACTCACTCTCTCTCTCTCTCTCTCTCTCTCTCTCTCTCTCTCTCTCACCCGTCATTATATCGCTCTCCCCCTATCGCTCCCGATCTCTTTCCTCGCCCCCCCCCCTCCCTCCTTTCGCCTCCTCTTCCCCTCTCTATTTCAATTTCCTTTCCATTCTCCCCGTTTGTGTTATTCCATAAGTTATTCTATTTTTCATTATCTTGTATCTCTTGTGTGAATACAGTTGGTTCACTTTCTCCCTTTCTCTGTCTCTCTTTCTCTCTTTCTCTCTTCTCTCTTGTCTTTTATCTTTTCCCTTTTCTCATTTCTCTTCTCTTCTCTTCTCTTTTCTTCTCTTCTCTTCTCTTTCTCTCACTCAGGAGAAGGGAAAACAAAAAAAGTGAGTAACTGAGTGAATAAATAAACGTATGAACGAACGAATAAACACGTGAACAAGTGAGCAAGTGAGTGAGTGAGTGAGTGAAGGAAGTGAGTGAAGGAAGTGAGTGAGCAAGTGAGTGAGTGAGTGAGTGAGTGAGAGAGTGAAAGAGAGTGAGTGAGTGAAGGAAGTGAGTGAGTTAGAGAGTGAGTGAGAGAGTGAAAGAGAGTGAGTGAGTGAAGGAAGTGAGTGAGTGAGAGAGTGAGTGAGTGGGTGAAGGGAGTAAGTGAGAGAGTGAAGGAAGTGAAAGAAATGAGTGAGTGAGTGAGTAAGTGAGTGAATGAAGGGAGTGAGAGGAGGAGGGAAAATACGTGAACTATGGAAACGCGTCACTCAAGCGATGCTGTTATGCAGATATCATCTCCCTTCACCAGCATCCATCTTCTTCGGCATCGAGATGACGCATACCAGAAGGAGGGGGGGAGGGGGGAGGAGGAGGGGGAAGAAGAGGAAATGGGTGAGGGGGGAGGAGGGGGGAGAGGGGAGGAGATGGGGGAGGGGATATGAGGTCACGTATGGGGGTTAGAGTAGGGGTTTTTGAGAGATGTCGGGGGGGGGGCGAGGAAT